GAAGGCGAAGCGGCTGGGGTAGCCTCTACAACGGGTACAACCCAAGGCAGGGCAAACAGAGTAATGCTCGAAAGATAAAAAACAAAGGCCAAATGGGGAGATTGCCTCCCGCCACCACGCTCTCTCCCTGTCTATCGCTGCTTTGGCCCAGAATGAAGTGGCAACAAAAACAGAGTTGAAAAAGAGGAGCTTCCGAAGAAGGAATGTGCTAGCTAATGCTAAAGACATAGGAAAATGAAATTTAAGCCAAGTGGAATTGCACACAACAACACGGGACACTGAAGAAGCAATAAATGATGGGGCAGCGTAGGGGTGAAGGGAGGGGGGAAGCTTCGGGCCAAGAGGCATACGAGTGATGTAAAGGGATATCAAGTGCGAAGCGCTTGACTCGATGGCCACTCAATGCCGGGACTCACTTCAGCACAGGGATTCGTTCCACTCAAATCAGGGGAGCGGGAGAGCTTTTGAGAGCAGGCTCACTCACAGCATCCTTGTTGGAATGAGGAGAATGAAAGAGAGTAAAAGCTGTAGGGCTTTTGTGCAGAAAGAGAACAAGAGAGTAGCGAGAGAGGAAAAGAGCGAAAGAGCAGAAAGAGACATTAAATATTTCTCTGTATTAAATTCTCTTAAGAGTTATATTTATATGTTTAACAATAATAGTCTAAGCAGGAACTAAAAAAAAGGTAATTTAAATTTCGAATAATTTCCAAATATTGTTTTTAGACTAATTTCTCGGATTTATTCAATGACATAATGGCAACATGGTATTATTCAAATCATGTAATTAATTATTCATAGTGGTAGTAAAAATTATTTATAATTTAATTTGCACTCAACTAACATTTATTTGTAAAATATTAGATAAAAACCATATTTTTTTTTGCATACACGAGTATTTGCCTCATAACCAATTTAGTTCTCCTGCTCCCACAGTTTACCTTTCAAGTCTAGCTCCAATAGCATTTGGATATTCGTCTGTCAACTAAATCAATTTCAAGTAACTCAATTAGGTTCACTGGCCATTGATTTAGTAAATTTTATATGGAATTTGCTCGTGTGCACAAACGAATGGCTAAAATTCCCATTTCAATTTAGATTGCCTGGACAGAGAGGGTGTCATAAGATTTCAATAAACGTCTGAGCCCTGCTACTAGGGCAGCCTCCTCTGATGGCTGATGGTTTAATCTCTGGACCTGTGCCTGTGCCTGGGCCCGGCCGCACACGGACCTGGCTAATGCAATTATATTCTTACCCTTTGACGCCCCGGGCTGATGCTGGTGCTGTTGCCGATGCTGATGCTGCCACTGTTGCTGCCACTACTGGAAATTGGATGAAGATGGAGCATGGCTTATGTCTCGCTGCCCAACTAATCCGTTTTATTTTTTGCTTCGCGTTCTTTGAACTTTGACACTAGACCGCACACACACACACATCCATATCCATGTCAGACAGCTGCAGCGGCGCCTAAGAGAATGCTTTGTTTGCCATTCATTATGTGGCCCATTCCTTTGTTTCTGCTTGATCCTCCAGCAGTGAATAAATTACAGTTGAGCTCGAAATGTAAATCGCATTTCTTTGTCGCCCCGTGCAACGACCTCCGCCTTCTGAAATGTTAGGTCGTGTGTCATTTGACTTCCAACTGTTGTCCGGCTTAGGCCTTAATTGGGGAAATTCAGTTATTAAGATTCAATTACAATTAAAATAGGAATAAGAACTTAATGCCTGGGCTAATTGGAGTGCAAAGTTTGGCAGCGCAAGGCCTGGGAAAACTTATCGATTGGCCAGCGTGTTCGTCTTCGCACTTAATGAAATCATTTAGCACAGAAAGAAAAAACAAAAAAAAAAAACAAAAAGAACAACACCATCCACTTGGGAAGGACACGCAATATCAAGTATACGCCATGTGCCAAAATTCATTGACTCGGAGCTCCAACTACCTCCCACAGAGCAGACCATGCCTGAGAAGACCGAAATGAAAATGTTTAGTCAACTGTAGCCTGACCTCTGCCCTCCGCCCACACTCTGCCCACTTCCACCCCCAACCTGCTGCATGGCCAACTGAGCAACAATCCACTGGAGGCAGCTATTTTTAAAGCCTGGCCCTTACGGGCAGTCGCTTGGCTCATGGAAATTTCATTTGCTGCTCAGGTTCCAGGCTGCCTAACTGCGGTAATTACTCACACTTGACCCCGAAGGGTTAAACCATCCCATCCCTGTGCCTCGATGACTCGATGCCTCGGCTGGTTCCGTATAAATTGAAATTTTCCGGGCAAAGCCAATCGAGAAGCGAGTTGTGCCTCGCTCGGAACAAGTATGCACTGCACCACACTTTTTCCAAGCTACAGTTGCAATTGATGAGGAACTTTTGCAATTTGCTAGGGAAAATATTGGGCCTTATTTATGTACCAGGTCCCAGTTCCCAGGTCCCAAGGTTGATTAGGTTAAGAATTAGGGATCTACTACCATCCGGGATTGATTAAGTGTTGCCTACTTATGGGCTGGGCTCCGCCCCACTAACGATAATGTCATGTGGGGGGACACACCCGAACATACACTCGTACATGGAATGTACTCGTAAAAGTGGATCAGGGCTGGCGCTCCAGGTTATTAAGTAAATGTGGATGTGGCACAACTTTGGCTGCACATAAATTCACATGTTATAGTTCACACAAACAAACGTCCATACAGCCACACATCCACACATATGTATGTACAAATAAACAATACTTTATTTACAATGTAATGGCATATAAAATGGCTGCCGTTGCCATTTCTTGTTCCTCGTCTCTCCTTCTCTCTGTGTGTATCTGTGTCCATGTGTGTACTTTTTCGGTTTATTTGCCAGCGGTCAGTTGCTTAATTTCTACGCTTTTACTTGCCACAATTTCAGTGCTGCACTGCTGTACTCGTATGTGTGGTGGGTGTGGCATGAACCGCCTTCTCTTTTTACATCTCTCTCTCCCTCTCTTTCTTCATTTTGCTGTCTTTCTTATTTATTTTCGTAATAACAATAAATTACATTTTTCTTTGGTTTTTCCCTTGGACTCTGACTCGTGCGAGTGTGTGCTTGTGTGCTCATTTGCTAAGTTGTTTTATGTGGCTGTCGCTTGTTTGTGGCTTTTTGACATTATTTGGATTAAGAAAATAAATCCTGTCCTTGGCTGGACAATTTTAATATTTTTCCTGGCCCCGCCCCAGGCCCTTACTTGATTCTATTTTTGTCTTTTGCCGTTGCTCTTTTGACAAAGCAAAGTTTTAATCTATGGAATCCAATTTTTGGCTTACATGGAAATGAACTTTCTTAACCAAAAGTTGTCATAGCATTGGGTAATCTTTCTATAAAAGAAAATAAGATAATTGTGAGTACAAAATTCTTCTTTTTTTCAAAATGCAATCGGAGGAAGCACCTGGCCATATAGTCTAAAAGTTACCAGCATTGAAAAACAAATTTCATATAGCAACAACTATAATAAAAGCTATATATACAACGCACAACTCTTGTGGCTGAAACCATAAAATATATATTCGAGAAATAATACAAAAAAGTGTGAAATAACTTTGTACAAAAAATCATAGTTTCGACAAAGGGAATCATACAGTTTGCAATGAAAAATCATTAAAAAAAAATAGTTTAAAACCAAGCTTAATATAATATTCTATATAAAACTCATTTCAATTCGCGGGCCATAGAAAAATTGTGGAAATATTCACAGGGAAAATGTGAAAATGTAGCCAAAGTACATAAAATGTTCAGATTTTTGTTGGTTCCCATTTTAAAGCAAAGCCAAGTCGAGCACCTAAAAACGTTAAAATGTTTGACATGAGCTTCGCTTTTTGTATTTTTTTTGTGTGTATGCCTGCGTATCTGTTTGTATTGCCTGCCTCGAGGATGACAACACACACATACGCATGAACATAAAGAAGCGAAAGAGACAGCGACAGGGAGACCATAGACAAAGCTGAGAGAGAATAAAATTGTTGGTTCGGGGCTGCTTTTTACGCGCGACACTTTTGTCGCATTGAGGACGTCTCGGCGTGAGATAACGCTGGCACACATACACACATGCCGAAGCAGTCACACACACACACACTGTGACACTACAATCGCTAAATGGCATGCATTAGGCTTAGTTGGAATTTGTGAAATGTCACTAGGCCCAGGCCCAGGCCCAGGCCCGGCCGCCGTCGACTTCGACTTTGGCAGCGTCGTCGCCATTTTCTATTGTCCCTGCAGTTCCCCCTCCAGGTGACTGTCTCTATGTCCATCACAGTAATACTGTCTATCTCTCTCTCTCTCTGTGTCCCTAAACTGTTGCCTAGTTTCAGGTGCAGTGGCTGTAGCAGGCAGGCCTCCAGCTAAATGCAAAGTTTAGCCTAATGGCGCCAAGCTTTAATGCAGTTTTGAATGCGAATGCATCCAGCGAATGCCAGAGGCAGACGCTGACGCCAGAGACTCGTCATAATTTTGTTAATTTTCCAACAGCTTGGCTGGCATTTCGCACTAAAGTTTTAATTAAGCCAGAGCCCATTGCCAGCAGCACGTGCCTTCCACTCTCTCTCTCTCTCTCTTCCGCATTTCCATTTCTTTTCATTTTCCGTTTCCCATTTGGCTGTGGCAGACACGCACTCACAGCTCTCTCGCAGCCTGCAACCCTCGTAGCCCGTCCGGCCATTCATTCATTCATTCACTCACTCACTCACACACACACTCATGCAAAAATGCTAAACAATTCAAAAAATGTGTGTAACTATTCGGAGCCTGGCCCCATCCATGGCTGTCTCGGTCTTTGGCTGCCTCTTTCTTGCCATTTGCTGGCTAAATATGTTGCGCTTTTGTTTTGGCCTGGCTGAATGTGTTTTCGCTGTGTATTTTGTGTGGCTCATAATTCAGAGAGATGTTCTGGCGAAAAGCTTTAAAATGCCTGCGGCCTGTGGCTGTGTCTTCCATCCGCTATGCATCCCTTATGCTTATTAGCCCCCGTTCTAATTGAAACGTGTAATGTGGTGGGAGTTTATCAAAAGGAGCCAGACCCCACTTCATTAAGGGTAAGTCCATCATATTGCTGCGGGTCTAACAGTCCCTCAAGTTCGAATTCTGTAACCAGTTGTCTGATGGACCCCTGAATGGCTTCGTTCTGGTAGAGCCTTCGTTTCATGTTCAGTCCGCGAGGTTGATCCGAGAGCAGAGCTGCGAAATCTGCATCCGTATCGTCCCTGTTGAGCAGCACAGGTTGCAGCAGCAGACCGCAGTGGACAGCTGAAAGAATACAAATTCCCTGATCATTTGTCTCATACAGGATAAACCACTACCATCCGCACCGTAGAAACGCTTCTGCTCCGATTCCAAATGGAACTGCTTCCGACTGGGCAACCTCTGACTCTTGAACTTGAGCCTCTGTAGCTCACGAACAAACACCTCATGATAGACACATCTCATCTCCAGCTGACGCTCGCTTCGCACCCGCTCCACCGCTGAGGTGTTCAGAAGATGATGAATGTCCAGCGTGGGCGAGCCCCAGAAGGCATACTGAAAGTCAATCAGGAGCACATCGACTGGCCCCTCCGCACCGTACTTGAACATCATGTTGTTTGTCCAAACATCGCCGTGAGTCAGCACATTTATGTGCTCTGCCTCGGGCTGAAAGCAAAGCAGTCCCAGTCTCATATAATGGGGAGACAGCTCATCCAGCAATTCAGAATGCTTTTCGTAGCCCGGCTGTGTCTTAAGGTAGCTGGCACATGACATCAGACATCCCACGAAATACGAACGAAAGCTCTCCGTATAGCGATTAAAAAATCCGCGATCGTACCTCTTTAGGGAGAAACAACCCTCTCGCTGGGACCTCTCCTCCAGCACTGCCGAGGCTGCCTGCATCATGGCCAACTTTCTCAGCACCAATCTCAAATGCTGCTCATCCAATCTCTCCAATCGCGGGGCCATCACATAACCCTGCCTGCTGAGGTCCTCCATGATGAGAGCTCCTCGCTGGCGATTTATGTGCAGCACTTTGGGGCAGAGTCTCTCACCTGCCAGCTGCTGCAGCTTCGGCAGCACCTCCTCATAGATCTCCAGCTCGCGATTGTAGATGTCGTAGGGTGCCTTCTTCTCTCTGGTGTCTGCATCCTCATCATCCAGCTTAGTCTTGGCTATCAGATATTCGGTAACCTCTTGACCCAATCCTATGCGGTACACGAGACGTATACGTGTTAGGACGGCTCCATAGTTTTCACCCTTGCCCAGAGCTGACTGGAGCTGAAGGAAAACTACCACAATATGGGGCTCCTGGTAGTGCCGTCGCAGTGCATCTTCCAGATATTTAGCGGTGATCCAAGCGGGTGCTGCAGCTGCCATAAGTGACCGATTCAAACTAATCTCTCGATGTCTGAGGTGACTGCTGATAAAAGATAAAGGCAGCCGGCAGAACATTAGATAAGCAAGGGCATATATAACCTGCATATTCTTTAGATAACTAAATGATGTCTGCTCTTTAATCTTTATTAACTTGTAAAATATAAAATGAGGCTCTTAACAGACAACGAAACTGTGGGTTAGAGTCTTATATTGACATGCGATGTATCTTCGCCGGTTTGTTCTTCAGTTGCCCATCTGTTGGATGTATTCCTGAAACTGTCGCATTCATCGTTATCTGCTGTTCAACAGCCTTATCATAATCGGACTTACGGTTAATAGTTGCATATTGAGAGAGAAAATTTCCAAGGGTTGACCATCCATTATTGAGGGCTGCAATAGCAGGAACAGTTCCTTTGTCATCAAATTCCGAGCGTAGAGGTGATAGTCGTTTGCAGCTGCCCATCTCTTTGGGAGGCTGCAGCTGCCACACGTGGCGTGTGCCCCGCAGACAGCTGGCGCTGCCTAGCAAATCTGGGAATGCCGCGGAGTTCAGGGGAGTGATTTGATTGGCTTTCATTGGCTACTCACCCATACAAAATAAGTTGAATATTATACAAAATATAGGAAACTTGTAGTTCATATTTGTGGCTGTTGCTCGTTTACAATCTCTCTCCGAAAATAGCTCTGTTTATGGATCTTCTCTACTTATCCAGCTTTGTCAAGGACTACTTTCTCTATTGTGAAAGTTTGTTTTGGGAAAACTTTCGACACTTGTTCTTGCTGATGTTTTTATCTGCCGCCGTCTGTCGCCTGCAACTGAAATCCATTCAAATTGACGCATTGACAATTGTTTTACCAATTTCATTTCGCTTGTTTTTCGACAGTTGGCCAAAGTTTTTCTTTCTCCATGGCTCCACCTCTGTTACTTAAGCATTTTGACAACTGCTGCTTTTGCTGCTGCCGCTGCTGCAGTTGCAGCTTAAAGTTCCCTGGCTCTTTTCTTTTCCTTTTGCTTTCCTTTCCTTGGGTTTTCCTTCCTTCTTTGCATAGCCAGAGCTACGTAGTTTATCAAAACATTTCAAGTTGAAGTGCGGCTGCAAAAACAAAAGCACCCAAGACATCATCGATTTTCTCGAGTGGAATGCGCCCCAAGGATGGGCACCCCCAGGATGAAGAAGATGAGGTTGAAGAGGAATCGCACTCCTACAAGGAAAACAACTCAATCTCAATGCATGGCACTTAGGCAGCTGGTGCAACAACACCAGCAACAGTGGCATTGGCATCAGAGTCAGCAGCAGCATCGGTGGCAGCCACTTGGTTGCAAGGTGCGGAAACTTCCACGACAGCAGAATGCAATTTCTCTCTCCCTCTCTCTCCCTCTCTCTCGAAGACGGAAAGGAGGAGGCTCTTCACTATGCGAGTATGTATTTGTGTAATCAGTCACAGCCAGTTTGCTGTGCGGGAGGGGCCTGCACTTAAGGACTATCCATTCATTCACTCATCTATCCATAGCCTGGGTCCCAGGCCAACTTGCAAATCGCTGCGCTATGCTAATTCATTGAAAAAGAATCCGATGCTCGAAACTTTGCTCATTATAATTACGAGGATGCACTGCAACTGCAACTGGCAGCTGACTTAGCTCTCATAGTCGAATACGAAAGATATAAACTCTTTCTGTAAAGATAGATATTATCCAGCAGAGAGGGCTGATACAGGAGTTCGGATGATACCTAAAGCTCGTATTCAAAGAGATCTGGGATCACTTTTTCAACTACAACTTCAATTGTTTACGGTTTCAATTAATTTCTCAACTTGTCCCCATTATTCGATTGATAACCAAACATATTTTCTTAAACTCTATCGACTTTTCAACCATTTCAATATATCTGTAGATCCCCACTTGTAATGAGTAACATTTTATAGACCAGTTGCACTTACCATCTCATAGGTAGAAAGTTATTTCTTGGCTTCTGGAACTCACAAAATCAACCCTCGCGCACAAGTTATGCCCAAGAGATATGGGCCCGGTGCCCCAGAACCTTATCCCAACAGCCAGGAGCGGCACACGGAAGCGGCAACCAGTCGGATGGGGCATGGCACGGCAGGGCAGGTCGGGGCAAGCGCTTGGCACGTGCATTTCATTTGATAAATGTTGTCGTTGTCGACGGCGCCTTTGCCTGATTATGCAGCGCAGCCAGCGACGGTGGTGCCTCTGCCTCCACGTGAGCGACCTCTTTCCGTTATGCCGTTGTAGATGCCAAAAACTTGCCTCGACTTCCGTTACTCCCGCCTTGGTATACGAGTATCTTTTTATTGCACACGCGCGTGAAAATAAACCACAAAAAGGTGAAAATTCGTGGGGAAGCTGGGGATCTGCTCTCGAGTGGGTTTTGTATGCGGCATCAGGTTTCTCTGGTTTTGTTGTGTGTAAAATTTACACTGACATGAGCTAACTAGTCGTGTGTGTGCGAGCGTGTATCTATGTGTGTCTTTGGCTGTGTCCGTGTATCTGCGGATGCGGCACGTTGCCGTTGTAACTTGCAACTTAAATGCGCACGTGATGCGCTGCCTGCGTTTGCTTTATTGCGTGAGCTTCTCAAAATTAACAAAGTTTTTTCTAGGCTCCCTTCCGACATCCTGCGCACCTCCAGGTGCTTCCTGGGGCGACAGACAATATGAATGAAGATGTGCGAGGACAGGCCATGTGGCCCGTGCCACTCTCGAGACAAGTGCGAATGAGCACGACCCAACATAATATCACGCATACGACACGTTGTCTCCGGCCAATTTTTGATAGCTACTGCAATCAGCTAAGTGAGCGTGGAGCCACCCCACTACCCCACCCAGCTACCCAATCAGCCAACAACGGGCCCAATAACAACAATACCAGGAGAAACGACAAATCGGGGTAAAGCGGGGAAAATGATTAAACGGAAGCATGCTAGAAGCAGTTTACCAACTTTCGAATGCAATTTCTGCAAAAGGAAAAAGTCGTTGCATTGCAACTGCAACACTCTTCAGAAAAATACTGAAATTGTGAGAAACTTAACATTTTTCTCCCCTTTTTCATATTTTTTTTTATATTTCTAACGCCAATTCTTTTTATAGTCATTTTTGAATACTGAAAATGTTAGACGAGGAGATCCCTTTTCTGCTTCATGACCGAGAAAAAAGCTCCCCTTGGAGCATAGTGTAATCAAAGCAAGAGAAAAAGTTTCGCTCGCGAACAGAAATTGAAAGTCAACACGCACACACACACACACTTACACACACAGATACGAGAGACAGGCCCACACCCACAAAAGGAGGCGCATAGGATATCGAAATCAAATCACAGCATCGTCAAATGCATTTAGAGCTATTTGCATTGCTCGGCATTCCTTCGACTTGCTGATTCCTGCCCCTTGATTCCATCTGATTCTGATTCCGATTCACGATTCAGATTCAGATGAAGATGGAGATGGCTGGCATCATTCCGTGCGCGTCTCGGCATGTGTCTCTGGGAATTTTTCTTTTCAGACTTTGGTTTTTTTCGTGCTGCACGTTGCCATAGAAAATTGATTTTCATCGCCGCCGGGACTTGCATTTGACTGCTTGACAGAAATTCCGCTTGAAGTTAATAGTTTGTTAGTTTTGGCTCGAAAATGTTAAGAAGAAGGTGGAAGACTCAAGAGAAAATAAGACGTTTATAAAATGTTTTCTAATTACGCAGAATAAAAGAAAGTTTTCCATTGAAAGCGGTAGATTTTTCCCTCATGTGTCGCTGTTTGGGAGTATGTTTTCACTTAGTTTACATCTGATTAAAATTATTTGGATTTTAATGATATTTTCCCTCAGATAATTCTCTTGTTGGTGGCCATTTACACATTATTTTGAAAATTTATCCGGGCCCTACAAAATCCATTTTTTGTAGCATAAAAAATATCATTAATAATGCACACACACACACAGATCTGGTCTTTTGTTAATCAAGCAACTGGGGATTAATTTTTAAGCTTAACACATATAATAAATGCATCCAAACAAAAGGTGGTGCCAGAACAGGGCTCTGACCTGTATTAATAATGGATATCATGAAAAAATATCATGCGTTTGCCGCTGATTATGCAAATGTACTTGATAAATATAGAACACACACTGAAAAAATAATTGTAATGCGCTGCAGCATTTCATTGTTTTCTTGTTGTGTTAATTATTGACAATAATTATGCATTAATGTGCAACAAATGTATAAATAATTGCTTCGGTATTTGTGTCTGCATCGAATATTTCGCATACGCCACGTGTGAGGCATATGCTTGCAATTTCGCCTTCCACTCGATTTCATATTCTCGGTGTGGTTTGCATAAGTAAATTTGTAAATAGACGTTTCTTTCATGCTATATTTTACCGGGCTAACACAGTCCAAGAGGACTGAGCTGGAGCCCGAGCTTTAGGGCACCTGCATCTACACCGAAGTTTCTGCCTCAGAGGAACACTGAGAAACTCTTTTTAATTTCTACTGTTTTAATTGAACATTTTTAATTTATGCACAATAAAAACCGATTTACCGCCTGCTACCCGCTCGGCTAGAAAAAGTTCAACTTTAGCTTTTTATAACTGCCCCAACAAACTGGAGAAAATAGAAGCAAAAGATAGGGGCCAAAAAAATGATGAGCCATAAAAGTGGCCAAGGTTTGTGTGTGTGTGTGTGTGTGTGTGTGTGGTTTTGAAAGCTAAACTAAAGTTCTGGTACGAGTAGAGGGAGCAACTTTTGCTTTTTAGTGCCGGCAGTTTGGTCTATTTTACAGCATTTAAGTGGCCATGAATTTCCTCTCCAGCGAACACTAAGGAGGTTTTCTGGCCAGCGGCCACTGTCTGCCAGAAACACGTGCACATGGCTCCATAAAGACAGCACAGTGTGGTTCCACCGTCCAATCCCAATACTCCACCCAGAGCTCCATCATCCACCTGCTGTTCCGTCCAGGTAGGTCCAGGCCTTTGTTTTAGTTGCGGTGGAGAAGCGGTCAGTTTTCGGTCTCAATTGGTTTAGATTCAGCCCGAGCAGAAACGGGACACGTGTAGCCCCAAAATTGTTTGAGTTAGTTAGCGTGGAAACGTGCCGGGCAATAAATTGATCAAAGCTGAAATTTTTAAACTAAAGCCATAAATTTGATGTTTTGATTTTGGTGGGGGGAAATAAATTCTGCTACGTGCGGAAAGGCAGTTTCTTGGCTATATTTCAGCACCAAATGGTTGATTTTCTATGGTTTTATTTATTAGAAAGCATCCTTAACAATAACCAATAGCCATTCGACAGAGATCTCAACAAAGACAACAACCCTTTTGAATAGTAAATAGTTGTTTTGTAACTCAAAATATATTATCATTTCAAGATAATCTAAAAGATTGTACGGTAAGATTTAAGTTTATAATCTTCTGGAGTACCTGCAATATGATCATGTAAGACCATCTTCAAGGCAATCATTTAGAAATCAAATGAAACCCCTATGTGTCAATCGATAAACTACCGTATCTAGAAAATCATATAATTCGTTCTGAATTGCGTTACCTATGATATATCATGTGAAATAAAGCTAAGAATTTATCCATTGACAACTCAATCGATATGGGCACATTTATGGGTATATTTTTCTGCCTACTGCCCGGATTTTCCAGTTACCTGAGCGAAGACCCTGACAGTATAAAATGGAATTCTACCTGCATTTATTTGTCCCATGTG